CTGTTGAAACCTTGGGTAGCAGCAGGTAGGGTGCTGTTCCCCTGCAGAACAGGCCGTGTTTTGACAAAAAGGTGTCCTTAACTAACTTGGTGCTCCCCTTCAGGGTCTGAAGCTAAGCAGGGTCAGGCGGCGGGAATTCTGTAGCGAGGGATCACCAAGGAATCCCATCCGGGACCTTCAGGTTAGGCTGATTGAGGATCTTGGGTGGCGGGCTCAGGGGTCCTGCACCCCGATTTATTACCAAGTCCTCCCTCCGGGAATGGAAAACAGTGCTTCCTTTCTCATCGGGTGGGGTTTACCAGCAGGCTTGCATCTGGGAGTGGGCGCCACCTAAGGTGCGCGCGCACACACACACCCGCAAGCCCCAGCTGGGGTGCCTTTGGGAGCTGCGGCTCGAGCTTTTTTGCAAGCTGTTTGTCCCGGTCCAGAGCGGAGGCAGCTGCCTTTCCAGGACTGGGTTGCGATTTTCGCCGCATCGAGCGGAATATTCTCGGCGCTTCGCCTGGAGCGCCCTGCGTCCCTCTCTGCACCTGTTCTGGGTGTCGGCGGAAGCTGCTCAGCCTTGAAAGCGGGCCCTCTTTCCATCTTCAGGCCATCGACTTTCCCATTCGGGGGCTGTGGATCTCCATTGTCCTGCGTTGTCCTGCATTCTCGCCCATGGATCTCGGCGGGTCGCTTTCGTCGCTCGCGTCTGCCACACGTCCTGCGTTCTCGCCCATGGATCTTGGCGGGTCGCTTTCGTTGCTCGCGTCTGCCACAGTTTGGGGGAAGGGGGATGAGCAAGGGGCTGATTTATTCCTTCCACTCGGAGAAGGGCCAGGCTCCTCTGTCTACAGGTCCCGAGTGTGGTTTCAGAGCAGCCGCACTCTCGTCCAGAGAAACAACCCCCCCCCCCCCCCCCGAATTAAAAGTACTGGGGGGAAATGCATTCTCCCTCTGGAAGCTTCAGGGAGAGCCATTTTGGCATCAGACAGGATACCTCCCCTAAACGCCAGAAATGGTTTCAGGCATTTAGTATTTTTCCAGATTTGGGTAGTAGATGTCCTTGGATTAAGGAGCTGAAGCCTTTCGGGTCTCCTGGACTCCCAGTCCCTTCCCCGCAACCGTGAGCGGGGATAATGGGGTTTGTAGCCCAGCACCTTACAGGCTGGCTTAAACATTGGCTACGAGGCTCCTCTTGCTGCCGCCTCCACTTCCCTGGATGGTGCCACTCCGGGCACGGCCGTGCGGGCCTTGTGTAACCCCAGAAGGTGCCTGGCAGAGGCCTCGAGGCTGGCGCCGGCACCTCCTCTCTGTTGGCAGGGAGATGGAAAGAGGTGGCATCGTGAGCTGCCATTGGAGGCAAAGGAGGAGCGGGACGAGCCTGCCGTGGCCACTTCCCCTCCCTCCCTCCTGCCCTCCCTCCTTCCTTTCCTCTAAATTGCACTCTGTGCAGGATGAGGGACCTTAGAATGGCAGAGCTGGGAGGGGAACCCTCGGGGTCATCAAGTCCAGCCCCGGACAAGGAGGCCTGGGTGGGGAGGAATCGACCTCCCAACCTCCCAACCTCCACAGCCAGAGGACGAAACCACGGCGCTCTCCCACAACCCTCGGCGTTTTTGTTTGGCCAGTGCTGGGATTCGGGAGGCATCTAGATGGGTGCGCGTTCCCCGTCTCCCTTCCTAAAGCTAGCCTTGTGTTCTTTCGGGGCCGTCGAGGGTCGTTCCCGACACCCACCACACAGATTCTCTTCCCGTCCCTCATTGACGCGTTTGGCCCCGTTACCTCTTCTGCAAAACGATCGTCAGCGGCGTTTCTCCCCCACCCCTTCTTTTCCCCTCGTGACATGAGCTGAGCGCTGGCTTTCCCAGGATTCACGCCTCTGGCTAGGCTGTCGGAGCTGAGAACTACGGTTCTCTGTTGTTGTTGTTTCCTCGTTGCTGGGGAGAAATTTATGCTCCAGACCTGAGCGTGCGTGTGAGGATGCGGGCAGAGGGCTGATGAGGGCTGTGGCCCATTGGCCTCTTGAGTGGCAGTGGCTTCCAGAATTAAGGAAAGTGTACGGACTCTGTCTTTTTTTTAATGTGCCGTCTAGCAGCTTGCTTCCAGCGTGTGGTGACACCGTGAACCGAGTGACCTCTGCTGATAAGCAGCCCTGCTCAGATCTGGCAAATGCAAGGCTCCGGCTGCCTTTCTTGAGCCAGCCCATCTCACGTTTCCTCTCCTGCTTTCCCCACTCCCTTCCACTCTCACAGAAGACCCCAGGGATAGACCGGCCGTGGGCCCACGAGGAAGGGGCCTCGTCACTGCACAGTGGGCTCGGTTGCCCTGAGAAAGGACCGCTGGCCACGGCGACCCATCCATGCCAGGGGCAGCGGGCCCCAGAGGGGCAACGGAAAGGCTGTCACTCCCCTCGCTCGCCCCTTGTTTGGGCGCTTTGTGGTGGCCCCTGTCTGTCCGCCCCCCGTGAGCTGCGGAACGCAGGGTCGGGTCGATCCATGGCCTTTTACTCGTCGCAGCCGTTCTTCCGGGGGACCCCCTTCCTCGGAGGCTCGCCAGGCTGACGGTAAACAGGCCGGCCGGAGAGAAGCTCCCGCGTTACGTTGGGCCTCTTGCTCCGAAGCCTGAGGTTGCTTCCGATCCATCCTGTCCCTGGATCCGAGCCACGAGCTTGTCTCAGCATCTTTCCTCCTCCTCTGGAAAGGGTGTTTTTTTAAAAAAAAAATAAAAATAAAATAAAATAAATTACTCTGTCAGAGCTCGGTTCTGCTTTCCAGGTGGAGATAAAACGGGCCATGTTTTGGAACAGATGGTCAGTCGGGCCCTGAGTGGCCAAAAAAAAGGCCCCTTTGTTTAGAAACGTCTTGATTAGTTTTCTTGCATTTAAAAACAACAGCAGCAGCAGCAAGAGAACTGGATAAAATGGACCATGTTTTGGAACAGATGGTCAATCGGGCCCTGAGTGGCCAAAAAAAAGAAAAAAGCCCCTTTGTTTAGAAACGTCTTGATTAGTTTTCTTGCATTTAAAAACAGCAGCAGCAGCAACAGCAAGAGAACTGAGACTGGGTTCTCCTTGAGTTTCCCACCACCTCCAGAATTCTCTCTCACGCACCCCCCCGACCCCTGGTGCTGCTTTTTATACTGTACAGTAATTCCAAATCCACCTTTCTCTGCTGCTGCTAATTGTGCCATTTCATGCATGTGGGGCTAATTTATTTCTCTTGATCTGAAACAATGCAGCCGCCAATCCCAGGCTTCTCTCTGAAGCTGCCTTGGCCCCGAAGACTCTGTGAATTAATTCAGATTTGGATCAAACGCGCCCAGGGTGGGTCTCCGGCGGGGAGGGAGGGGACCTGGAAATCTAGGTTGGTCTTGAGACAGCTTAAGTTTTGCAACCTGTTAAAAGCCACAGCCTTGGGGCGGTGGGAGAGGACGATGCATTTATTCCGCCCAGAGGGGAGGGTGAACCCCATAGCTTTCTTGGAATTGTTACATGGGAGGAAGGACCAGAGGCCTCCCTGATGTAGAAAAATTAGCCCTTGATTGTCCAAACCGGCTTAATTTTGGATGATTTCACCGCCCCAGTCAAGATTCTCTAGATTTCCTCCATTGCGCGCTGTAGGGGGTCCGGTGTGATGTGTGTTGGGTGCTTGAGAGTGTCATGGGGTATAGTGGTTAGAGAGAGCAGCGGGCTGGGGTCTTTTATGACGCCAAAGGGGGGCAGCAGGATAGCAAAAGGGGTGCAGGACAGGCTGTGTAGACTAGAGTATACGAAGCTCGGTCCTTCAGGAGACTGGAACAGCCAGGCGACTGAGGAAGAACCGGTTGAGGGTCCGCTGCCGCCTCCCAAAATCTGCTGCCTGAGCCAGGGCAAGCGTTCTCCCTGACAACGGGGCGGCCCGTGGGTTGACACTTCACAGTCTCTTGCAGCTTGGTGGCTTTATAGGGCTTCCTGCCGAGGGTTATCTGAGCAGTAGGCATAGTTTGCACCCAGCCCCGGCAAGGAGGGAGGCATCAGCCACAGAATGTTCACAAACAGTGCCATTGTTCAGTGTGTCGAAGGAAAGGTCCATAATACGTTGCATTTAAGACCCCTACCTAGCCTCTGGGGCCCTACCGGTGTTTCTCCATTCAGAAGGAAGCCAGCTTCAGGTCAGTGCTTCGTGCAGAGCGGCAGCGGTGCGCTTTCCAACCGGTGCCTCATGCAGAGCAGCGACGGGCTCGCCTCCTCTCCATATCCATCGTCCTGTCCCTGAACTGTCTTGCCGCATCTTTTTTCTCCCGGTGTCCCCATTAAACCAGGAACACCAGAATAGCAATCCGCTCAGGCCTTCTCCTGCGCTTGTTTGGTTCGATCCGTGTGGAAAATCTTTCGTGAGCATCTGCTGTTTGCAAAAGGGTTTAAATATAATTTCTGAAAGTGTGGAACAGGTGGGAAGGAAGAGCGATAGGAGCTGTGTTGCCTGGGGTGTGTGTGTGTGTTCTGCTCACATACCCAGTTTTTTGGATGGTACGTAGGAGATTTTTTTTGGTCAGTTTTCAAGTGAGCAGATGTTTTTTTCTCTCCTTGCTGAGGGGAAGTAAAATCATCTCTCCGGAATCATCTTTAAAGGCAACCACGAAGCGGGTGCAGAGAGCCAGGCTTTTTGCGAAGTTTAAGGGCTGGACATTTCCTCCGTCCTTTAGTCGATGGCAAGGAAATCCTGCTTTGATTTTATTTCTCTTTACACCATCGTTCAGTGAAGCATGTCTTTAATTCACCATACAGCTTGGAAAAAAAAACCAAAACCATTAATCCATTAAATCTGCATAAATCTGCAGGGAATTGTTACATGAGTTGAGAGGACACATCCTCTCCTGTCCGAAAAAGGTAGGAATTTTCTTCTGAGAACACCCTTGCCAGTTTTAAAGTCCGTTTCCTCTTTTACAGGCCGGACGCCCAAAGGATCTATTAAAACCAGGCTGTGAGCCTTGAACGGCCGCTTTTAACTTTTTCGTTTCTCTCTCTTTTTTCCCCCCAGTTCCGACCGGCTGATAGAGGAGACCATAAGGTAAGGCTTTCCATATCGCCTGGACACCCCACCACATACTTTCCAGAAAGGCTGGACTACAATGGCTATCATCCACAGGGTGGGAGACGAGATGATGGGTATTGCAGCCCAACCTCAGCTGGGTGACGACAGATTCCCCGAGCCCCTGCTTTTGACACAAATACCAGCTTCCCCCCACACACACCGTTCTTCTCTAAAACCTTAAAAGAATTCCTGCACAGCAGATCTGTTCCCCAGGAGTGAGAGAGGTGGATTAATTGACATTCCCTTGGTTGCAGTGTCATCTCATCACCACGCCCGGGACGACTGCTATCGTTTTTAATGCCTTCTTTCTGCCTCCCACCTGCTTCGCCTCCCTCCTTCCCCCCTTTCCTTTCCTTTCCTCTGCTCACAAACGGCTGTGAACACGATTCACAGGCCAGAGGAGTTCCTACCAGAACAGCTTGTCCCCTGCAGCAAAATGCCCCTCCTTCGTTAAGAAATCACCCTACTCTTAATTAGTTTGTGGCCAGCTGCCCACCAGGGTAAGGGAGAACGGGAGCCCTTCTGCCACCCTTGGGACCTGTGCGGAGTCAGATCATGGCCTTGACTGGATCACTGAGCATCCCCTTCGTTAAGCTCAGCCTTCGTTGGAACGGCCCTTCCTTCCCCAGCCTGGCCCACTTTCACCCTTCTTCGCTCTCCCACCGGCTGTTCCTTCCAGGCAGCTGGCCAGCCTCTCTCTGCCTCCCGCTCTAGAAACGGATGTCCATTTGATTCTGGGGAATGGTGGCTTTTGCTGGCCCAAGCGCTTCACGGGAAGTTTTTTAAGCAGCCGTCGGGGGTGAAGGTGGGGAGGAAGGCGCGAAATGAAACGAACGTTGCTTTCGACCTTTCAGGTTCCGCCACTGCCTCTTCCTCCTGCTTTTTCGTTTGCTTTTTTAATAAAGGTGACCAAAAGCCCCCAGCTGCATATTTTCATCAAAGTCAAGTTTGGAAATCATGGTGCTGAGCCCTTCAGTGGGGACTGTTCCAGCTTGGACCGGGCATAACAGAGAGGCTGGGGTGCTCGGTACTAGAGCCTGGGCAAGTTGCTCTTAAGGAAAAGGCTCGGGGTGACGGCGGGGTGAGCCGGTCCTTGAGCCGCAGGGTATTCCTCCTCCTCCTCCTCCTCCTCCTGCCCTGGTCCCGCCACTGCAAAAGCCATGGAAAAGTTGCGGTTAGACAGAAAAACAAGTCATTGTCCTTGTATTGGAAGGAGGGAAGAAAACAGGCCCTCCCTTCTTTTCCTGTTCTTCGGCATTTTCTTCTCCTCTTCAGGTTGCCTCTGTGTGTCGTCCCTACGCTTGTCGACAGCTTTTTCGCTTCGAGGGACACCCACCCCCGCCCCCACCCCCATTTGCGCTTCTCTTGCCAAGAGAGGCAGGCAGGCAGCCCTGCGGCTGGGCGCGGGCTCCCGCCTTCCCCTGCTCCTCAGAAGGCCAACTCCCAGGAGCGTGGGAGACATCTTGTCCGGATCCCCGCCGGTCGGGTTGCCATAGAAGCATGCGCCAATTTGACAGAGCCCACGTCCACCAAGGTGCCTCATTAAAACATCCCCAATTAGAAGCCTGCATCTGCCTTGCTGTTTTTCAGACCAATGTTAAAAAAGACTCCCTTTTTTTTTACTCTTCTTACTGTTTTTCCTTGTGAATATCTTCAGTTTTTCACCTCTTCTTCCTTTCCGTTGGCGGCTTTGGAGAAGACGCCCCTCCTGCTTCAGAACGGGCAGAAAACAAACAAACAAACCAGCCAAATCGGTTTGAACTGGAAATGATTCTCAGCCCACGTTTCTTGCTCGTTTTTGTTTCCAACTCACAGGTTCTTTTTGACCCAAGAATTGGTTGGGTTGGTGCAAGGGGGCCAGGGGTGGGGGCGGGAGGGCCAGGTTTGCGTCACCCCTGGGCCCGATTGACTCACTAGGAGACCTTGAGCCAGCTGAGGACCAATTTGGCCTACCTCACTGGGTTGTTGTGAGGATGCACAAGGGGCGGAGAAGAGCTGTTTGAGCTGCCTTGACTTAATTATTGTTAACTGATAAATATGTTGTTGCAATATTCAGTATTGGTCGGTTCAGTAATCATCTTTTTCTTTCTCTCTGTCTCCCCCCCAACCCCCGGCTTCTAGCATCGCCATGGCAACGAAAGAGAACATGACTTCTCAGAGGGGGATGATGAAGTCAATACAGAGCAAGATGAACACCTTGGCCAGTATCCTTTTGCAGGGGGTCAGCGCTGTGTCCGGTCCTTTCCCCCCCCCAGCCCCATCACCAGACCAGCCCTGCCCAAACCCATACATTTCAGTTGATAGCCAAAGATGATCACTAGGGGCCGGTTGGAGATCCATCCCCTTCTGGCTAACTCTGGGTTCGTATCCGAACACAGGCCCAAGGCGTTTGGAATGACAATGCCCATCGCCCCCAGACCGCTGGCCAAGCCGGCTAAGGCTGCTGGGCGTCGGACCTCTGAAATGTTGGGGGGAGGCTCAAGGTTCCACACCCCTCCTACGCATTGGCCTGGATGGTCTGGAGACGATAAACCCAGCTGCAGAAATGCTTTTTGTTCCCCTTTGGTTCCTGGAAGGGTTTTTCCAGGGTGACGAGAAACGTCTCGTGGGTTGCTGTTTGGAAGCAGCAAACGTTTCTGCCACAGTAGGGGCCCCTGTACTGCTTCCCAGTTCCACATCTTGCCCTTTTCGGTTTAATCTGAGAACTGCGAAGCTGGAAGGGACCACCGGGGTCATCCAGTCTAGCCCCTCTCGAGGAGACTCAGTGGGGGAATCCAGCTCCCAACCTCCGGCTCCCCAACCAGAGGCCTAAACCACTGAGCTCTCCAGCGGTTCTTCCTGTCTAGGTCCTTTTAAGGAGAAAGGTGGGGTAAAAATGTTTTAAAACAAATAAATGACTATTCAGTGAAACAACCCCAGCCACCTCATTTGGCAGGCCGTGCGCCTGGCCCTCCAACCCACCCCCCTTCTCCGACGGCAGGCCGAGCTCGGAACAAGAGGCATGACAGCCTCGTTTGATTAGACAGATTACATCCCAAAGATGCTCAGGTTGATGAACCATAGGTTTTATTTGGGCTCTCCTTCTCTTTTATTATTTTATTTTATCTTTCACCCCACTCCACTCCCCCGGCAGCTGGCGAGAACAAAGCGAGCCGGCGAAGCATTAGCCATGAAAAGATTTCCTGCGAGAGAGAGCGGGAGATAAAAGCTCCCGAAAACTCCCTTCGCGTGACCTCCCCCCCCAAGGCTGCTAATCAGATGCTTCTTTGCAGGCCTGAAGCTCAGATCAGAACAAGGAGGGGAGGAAATCCAGCCGACATGCACTTGCTTAGGGTGAGAGGAGAACAAAGGGACGCCCATCAGCCCCAACCCACTGAGGGAATGGGTGGCTGGGTGGGGAGGCGAGAAAAATGTGCCCCCCATCCATTCTCGAGAGTGTGGGGTGTTGAAGCGTCATTTTGGTGGAAGCGGGGTACATTTCTGTGGTTCCTCCTTTTTGCAGCCGCCGGGCATCCATCCCCCCCAGAACGGATGCTCTGCAGATGTTTGCAGTCCTCACCCTGAAAACACATGTTATTCGCTCTCAGAAGCGTTACCCAAAGCAGCAAAACTTTGCCCAGATCACCAACGAAGCTGGTCATTTGGCGAGAGGAAATCTTACGAGGGATCCTGCACAGAGGTCCCTCTTAAGCTTTCGCTCCCCTAAGTCTTCATTCCCCTTGTCCTTTGTTCCCCTCCCCACCCCTTTCTCTCCCTCCCTCCCTCTTCTTTAGAAACCCATCTGTAATCTTAACAAGCACGTGGGGGTTTAAGTGGTGCCTCTCTCCACTGTCCATATTTCCAGCAGCTCAGTTTGATTTTGTCACAAGAGATGATCCGAAGAAAGTTTTCTGTGGATAGCTCGGAGAGCTAGCCGTGGGATCGGGAGTCTTGATTCCCACCCTGCACCTCCTTATTATTTATATTTATTGATTTTATTTTATTTATTTATTGCATTTATAGGCCGCCCATCTAGACATGGTCTACTCTGGGCGGCTCACAACATACAAATAGAAACAATTTAAAACATACACAATTTACATAGATAAAAACAGAGAAATATAAAATCAAAGAGCTTACAGTTTTAACCATTAACTTAAAGCAAAGAGTCCCAAGATGGGATGAGTTAAAAGGAAAGAAATTGTACGATGTGAAGGTTTAGAAAAGAGCACAGTTCCCTGCTGTGAGGTGGCCATCCGTCACATGTATCATGGAGGAGGAAGTGGCAGGGTGTAGACTGGGCAGGGAGGAAAAAAACCAGTACCGCAGAATGATGGTTGTATTTCTGAGAGTTTTTTGCGGCTTCTGTTCTGGGTGTGAGAGGGTGGTTGAGTAAAACGGTAGGAATGCCAAAAATAGCACCAGATTTTAGCTGAACGCATTTATTGCCAAGGATGAACTTTTGGAAGGGTGTGTCTGCCTTTCAGGTTGGTGGGGAGACCCTGTAGAAAACCAAGGGAAGATGCCATAGAGGAGGGGGGGTCACGTCTGTCCATTCCACGTCTGAACCCCATTCCACCCCCAGGGCTGGGGGAGTCCTCACACGCACACCCAGATCAAGAGGGGGTGCTCTGAGCTGAAAGGACTGAGGCGCACCTCTGCTTTTTCTGGGAATGCCGGCAGGTCAGATTGGGGAGGCCAGCGGGCTGGATTCGACCCCGGGGCCGGAGGTGCCATACCTCAGCATTCAGATCTTCCCAGGATTTGGCCTGCTTCTTCGTGACGTGAAGGGGAACCCACCGCCCTGCAGGAGAAAGTGGTTGAGGAGCAGAGGTGATCCGGCCCATCTGGTGAGCGCACGGACCTTAACTCCCTCGCCAAAGATCGCTTTCCTGCTGTCAACAGCCTGATCCAGAGGATCAACCTACGCAAGCGTCGGGACACCCTGATCCTCGGTGGGGTGATCGGCATCTGCACCATCCTCTTGCTGCTCTATGCTTTCCATTGACGGATGCTTTGGGCAAAGAGACTTTCGGAGTGCCGGATTCCGCCGCCTGACGTAGGAAGAGGCAGGGGCCGCCAGAGCCTTTTCCGACGGGCCCGCTCCGGTGAATGTGAAAGCAAAAAGGTCACGCGCAGCCAGGGGGTGTGGTCCTTCTCCCTTTTTTCTCTCTCCCCACATCTGGCCGCAGGTCCTGAATGGGGTGCTCTCCCCCGCTCTTTCTTCCACGTCCCTCCCTCCTTTGGATTACAGTTTGGCTTAGATTTACCTGGCCCCTTTCCTTTCATGAAAATCTCTCACTTGGCAAAAACTCTGAACCTATTTGGAACCACCTACAAAGCCACAGTGGCAAACGTGGGAAGCCTCCAGGTTTAAACTGCGCTTCCCAGCGTCATCTGCTAGGCTAGCACAGAGTTTATGGGGGTTGCGGTCCCAAATGCTAGCCTATCCCCAATTCAGTGATAAATATCATCCGAACCAAAACCATCGCTATACATTTTCACAAACGAATCTCCCTTTCCTGCATCCAGATATTAAACTAAGCCCTTTTGGTTTTGTTTTCACGGAAGATGATTGGGTGTCTTAAGCCAGCCTGCTGCTGAGTGGGTTGGGTGTGTAAAGTGGGATCATTTTTGCGGCTTAAAAACTCCAGCCTGATCCTCTTGGAGATCAAAACATCTGGAGAGAGATTTTTCTGAGATTCGGGGGGAAGGGGGAAGATTGAACACCACCTTTAAAAAAAAAAAAAGGGGAAAGATGCCACACTGAGAAGTGACCAAAGCTTATCTCCTTGTTCTTTTTCTTTCTGACCACTCCGTGGATGGGCGTGACATCGCAGGAACCCTGTTTCCCCCCATCCCCCATAAAAGGTTCTGTTTTAATTGAGCTGAAAAACTCCCCTATGTCCAGTCTTTTACTGTAAGTGGCTGGGCCACGAGGATACACAGGGAGAGGGGTCTTGTCGCCATGTTGGTGAAGGGAGCCACATTTCCCCACCACCCGGATCCCTCCTCAGGAGTGAATGAGAGCCAGGCCCAAAGGGTCATCCATCATCCATCCGTTTCTAGCAGGCCACCTTGGACTGTGGCTGGGTGCAGGACTCTGGATTTGACAACGTGAGGGTGCATCAGTGTGTGTGTGTGGGGGGGAGATTTTAGAGAACCTCTCCCTGTCTTTCCTGGCCTTTGTATTTTAATTCCTGTTTCCTCAGGTGTACCATTCACCAAAAGAAAAAAAGGGTTGGGTGGGAGGGCTTTCCAAGCAAATACAACCCCGTGCAGCCTCGAAACTCGTTCACTTCTTTATTCTGCTTTTATTCTCACCGAGACCCGAGATTCCCTGTTTTTTGAAGAGGCAGGGAATAAATGGCTGCAAAAATTTGGCCTCAGCACCTCCTGACCTGTCGAGGAAATTGTCACCTTTTTTAATCCCCTCTCCTTCGCCACACCAGAAAACTTGGAACCATCTCCTCTTCTTTGGAAGACAAGTAAATCTACCGAGCCTCTGCACGGCGGGGCGGGCGGGATGTTTTTCCTGGACTCTGCAAATCGACACCCCCACACACCCCTGCATCCGATCCTGCAAAAAACTGTCGCATAACGGTGTGGAAGAACCCTTCGACGTTTAACACATGGACCTAATTTTCCTCCTTCTTTTCTCACTCAGATGGACTCAGAAAACAGTCGCTGTACAGATTTAACCGCTTTCTTGCGCCAGGTTCTCAAGTTGATTAACTGTTGATTCTCATTTGACTTTCGAAGGTAATTTACCGTTAGTGTTGAGGGCAAAAAAAGAGAAAGAAATGGGATAAGATGGGGACGTGTTTCTTTTGTCGGTGGAGAAATTGACGACATTTCTCACGTCTGAGATAAAACTAGACATCGGGCATTTGTAAAGAAAGATTCCAGGATAAAATGAATTATTTCTCTAAACGTTTGTGTTTCGAAAGCTGCCCAGGACTCTTTTTATTTTTTACCCCAGATTTGGTGGCTGTCCGCAGTTGAAGCGAGAAGGGTTTGGTTGCTTTATGTAGCTGGCAGATTAATAAGCACTATCCCTAAATAATTAAAAAAATCATTTATTTAATCTTAGAATGGCTTGATCATCTTTTATTTTTTGTTTTGCGATTGCTTCCTCTCCAGAAATTCATGGGACTATAAATGGGAGAGGTGAGAGAAATGAAGCGTGAAAGATGCAGTTGGTGGCTAAACTTCTTAAGGATAGGGAAAAAAGTAGGCATTGAGGCCTGGATTCCTCGATGGCTGTGAAAACCCCCTTGGGATGTTGTTGGAGAGAGCAAACCACTTCTTGAACGTCTCACGTAGCTCGAAATCTTGATGAGGGCTGCCCTGAGTCAGACGTAACAAAAAGGGAAGCCTGGGATCCAGAAGTAGAAATAAAATGTTAAATTGAGTAACTTAATTGGGTCACAAAATGATGTATGCTGGCCCATGAGGATTTTTTTTTAACTCTGAGAGAAAAATCCATGCAGACTCCCTGTAGGTAGAGAGCTAATTCATCAGGGTAAGGTTCAGATTAGAACCTTGTTGTTCTAGTTTTCTAAATTCAGGGTAAGGTGTATGTTTTTTTTAAAGGTGTGGGAGTTTTTAAATAACGATCCCGAACTACAGTCTGAAGTGGTCCAGAAGGTGTTGGAAATGTGATGTGCCTGCATAGGTCTCTTGGCAAAAGGATACTGCACTACTCTGGGTTGGCAAAATGTTAACCCTCTGGATGCAATTCCCAGAGATCATCACTCATGCTGCCAGTTGTAAAGAGAGAAAGGGAGTGTTATCCAAGACCACTGGGAGGGCAGAGCATCCCTTATCTCTTGGTCAAAGCAGATGATATAGTTAGCACACCCTTAGAAGATGAGCTCTCGTAACTGGGAACAGACCCATAAGTTATGCTACCCAGTGCTTGCCTCACGTTTCATGTTGCAGAATAGCTTGTTTTTACTTTGTGATTGGTGATCGGGAGGCAGACCCCCAGGTTCCTTTGCAGGTGTGGTTGCTTGGGCGTGGAGCTCTGAAGGAATACGTATCTGGAAGGAAAACACTTTCGTCACCTCTGATTGTGAAGCTGACATCTCGTTTAGTTCATCCAGGAAAGATTGGTCTGTTTCCGGAGGAGTCTTCTTACCGTCTTTAGGAAAGCCTGTCTCCTCAACCCACCCATGAAGGAACGTGAACTCAGCAACACCAAAGAAAGAGAATACGTCTCTCTCTCGAAAAAAGAGACAGTCCTGCCTCTCTCGCCCTGGCCGCGCCTGTGTCCAGAGAAACGAACGAGAGCCTCCGTTCACACGTGTGAGTGGCAGTAACCAGCTGAAAGGAGAAGCCCCGCGCAACACCAAAGAAAGAGAATACGTCTCTCTCTCGACAAAAGAGACAGTCCTGCCTCTCTCGCCCTGGCCGCGCCTGTGTCCAGAGAAACGAACGAGAGCCTCCGTTCACACGTGTGAGTGGAAGTAACCAGCTGAAAGGAGAAGCCCCACCCCTTTTATTTTTTAAAAAAGAAATCTTCTCCCTGGATCTATTATTCATGGGACCCCACCGGTTTGGTGTATTGATTAATAATAGAGAAGGCTGGAGCTGTCAGCTCCAATCTCCGTTCAGGAAAACTCGGGCTAAAACCCGGCCTGGATTCGCCGCTCCGCTGAGGTGGCACCCTTCCGCGTTCATCCCATACCTAGACGCTTTCCCTCTTCTCCCCTCCGTGAGCCAGATCGCAACGGTTCTGGAGTTTTAAGACAGACCTCAGGGCTCTTTACAGAAGCCGTGGTTCCTTTTAAGCTACTGGAGAGCGAGAGTAAAATCTCGCCGGCTCCTTCCCTCCCCCAGTTTGCATTAAGAAGCCGGGGCAGTGTGTTTTTCTACTTGGGTTGAGAAAGACTTAATGGGATCAGACAAGCCTGTTCGCCTTTCTCCCAATAGACCCACAGAGAGAGACGTGGGGTTGGTTTTATTTTATTTTATTTTGTGCCTTGGCTGTAAATTTCCACTCCTGCCTGATGGCTTTCCGGATTTTATTCTCCAGCCATTAAATTTGTTAAAACAGTGGTCAGGGGGATAAGAGGCAAGTTCATCCATGTCTCTGAATGTCTCAGAATTTGTGAGGTGGAGTAGACTTTTCTCCTTAAACTCTGACATCCCACATCCCCCTGGTCCCAGGATGGGAGAAGAAGGTTTTCTATCCTCCTGTTCTTTTACAAATCCAGAAAGAAACTTCCAAGCAGCCAATCAAAACCAAACCTACATCTTTAGCAGGCAGGCGGTGGCCTATGCGTGGCCCTCCCGCGTCAGAACTGGAGTGTGAACCCACTGAAGTAGTTCACGCATTTTAATCCCACAAGCATTTATGCACAACCCATGCCCTCCCACCAAAAAAAGAAAGAAAGGATAGATCTAGCTGCTGCAGCCTTACGACTTTTTTTTTATAATGTTAAAAAAGGGTCACAGCACAAAGGGAAAAGTAGAAGAGGAGGGAAGAGGAAACAAATAGGATGGGTCTCGCTTTGCCTTGGCAAGCAGGAACAGTTGCAGGTGCCAACAGCTGAGTGGGGAGGCGTTACAGCGGCGGCCTTTGGGCTAGTGGCCAAGAGGCTGCCGAGGAGGCCTTGCTCCCTGGGTAGAGCTTTGCAGACACGCTGCCCCAGGTTCAAATCTTGGCACCTCCAGTTACTCCATTATCAGTGAAAAGAAAACGTGTTTTCAATCTGCCTCGGAAGGAGACCTGGTATGAGAGCAGAGAACCAACAGGGAACGAGATCTTATTCTGGGATGGGATTGCTCAGCCTCTCAGGGGCCGTAGCCTTAGCGTCTGGGCCCACCCCTTTCCCCACGACACCATAACTTCGGGGTTTCCAGGGTTTCGCTCCCCCCTTTGCCTCCCATTCTAAAAGTAGGATGTGTATCTCCCACAGCTGAATGTCAAGCTTAAACTGGTTAGTGTTCCTGACCCACTCTTTGCCTGTGGAACCACCCACCACTGGATTGTGTCCCTGAGAAATCTTTGGTCTACCTGCAGAGGGGGCAATGGCCTTTTTGTATTTGTCCCCCCCCCAGGGGGGAGCGGGGTTTCTGTTTAAAAGCCTCTTGCCAAGCATCCTCGGGGTTGGCATTAAAAAGAGGTTATTTCCAGCTCCCCGAAGCTTGGAGTTCCTACCTGAACTTCCTAAAAGGATTCAAAACCTGGATCTAGCTGAAAAAGCATCTTTGCGCACACAGGAGCAAGAATTCCCCTCTGCCATCACGCCCCCCCCCCACATACACACACACCCATCAGTTCTGCTGAATGTGTAAACTGGCTTCAAGCCAGCACTTAAGGGAAGCTGCAGAAAGCCAGCTTCTTCTCCGTCCCCAACCATCCACCCCGCTGCCCCCCCCAATGCTGGTGGTGGTTTTTAATTTTGCTGCTGCATTAATGCATGCCTGGCTGGCTGCTGTTATTCAAGAAAAATGCTTTCCATTTGGCAGGGGCACCCGAGCGCCAGCGGCAGCCGCTCCACGGACCGGAATCTGCTGGTTATTCAGAAAAGATGAAGTAACCCTTGTAATGAATGCATTTGCAAAGCCTGGCGATGGAGGGGGCAAGGTGGATGCGGAGGGGGGGGAGGTGCCATATAGACCGGCTGCTCCAGGAGCAAATGCTGGCCAAGACGCAAAGGAGGTCGATTCCCTCTTGGCCGCTGCAGGGTGTGTGTGTGTATGTGTATGTGTGTGCACAGGAATTGCAGCTCTTCATCTTTATATTTTCTAGCTAGCTCTCAGGGTGGAACGCCAACCCCAAGCACCGACTTGGAAAGTGTGTGCCCCCGCCCCCCGGCTTGAGTGAGGCTGCCTACCCATCGTGTTTAAAAACTATTTTTCTTGTGCTACCATTTGGAAGAAACTCATCTTGATGGATGTAAGAAAAGCCCAGGTTTTCAAATATATATATATCTTTCTGTGCACGGTAGTCTTTATTTCCATTTTAAACACATTTCTTTTCTCACATGCCAAGAAATAGAAAGAAAACCACCTCCTGGAGATGAAAGGCAGCAAGGAAAAAGGGGAGCCCCCCCAGATTCGAGAGCCTCGGCTTCCAGGAAATGCCAGCCGCCACCCAGAATCTGGAGATGTGAGTTGAGAAAATAGGAATGTGCTCAAAATACTTCTCTCTATTATAGCAATGGCTCAAGCTTTCTTCCTCCAGTTCATGGCTAGATTGCAAGATCAAAGGAGATTCTGAAGAGGTTTTTCTTGTGTGTGGGGGGTGTTGGGGAAGACAAATCATGTTATCCTTCTGGATCATCACAATGTCCCAGAGTTCAACTTCGCTACACAGCTGGCAGAAGACTCATAAAGGGGCAACACCCGAACTTCATGGCATAGAAACCTTTGTTTGTTAATGTCAACAGAGTATTTTTTTTCCTCCCCTGCGGGATCTAACGTGCATTAGTAAACCAAAGGCAACATCCTTGTATCATGCTTAAAAAGGACTCTATAAACTGCCCTCCCATGCAAAAAGACGAAAGACCCCCCTTAAAAAAAACACCCACCCCAATTATTATTTTTTCTCATTCACTATAAGGAACAAAAACACCTTCTTTCCAGACTGGGATTAGCTCCTTTTCGCTCACAACTCCTCTTAGAAGGTGGCAGCTGGCCCGCATGGTCACCTCGGAGTATACTGGGTTATGCCATCTTTTGTTTTTTTCAAGGACATTTTTCGTAGCTCTGCTCCTGTCCGTGAGAAGGTCAAGAGCGTTCCCAATGGCACACTCAGGGACTCAAGTGGGTCCAGAACCCCAAAACTGAAATGCGTCATGCAGGACAACTTGAAAGACGGGCCCGGAACAGTCCAGAGGCTCAGCCTCTCCCACCCGTGAAAAAGCTTTCCATACAAGCATGCAAAAGTGCAGCAGAGTTCTGTCCTTCCCATCAAAAATTACAAAAGTCCCCCCTCCTCCCCCCCCGATGTGGTTTCCCCTCCCTGGCCGTAGACTTTTGCCATCTAGTGGACCCTGTGGCAGAATCAGATCCACCCCAGAGAGAGGCCATGCGCCCTCTTGGGTCTCCGTGATGGTTCGCTCGGTGGGTCAGTCCTTCTGCTGGGTCCAGTCATTGGTATGTTTTTTTTTCCAGGGGTGTGGAGAACCTTCCGGAGGGGATCATGCCCGGGTAACTCGTGCGAAGAAGGGGTGGCCAGAGGAAAGAGGAGAAGGCATCGTTATTTTGGGACCACAACAGAGCTCCTCCTCTTTTTTGGGGGGAAGGAAGCAGGAGGCAGGATGAGGTAGAGTCGTCCACCTTGGACAAGGGAGGGCCTCCGGGGGCCCCTTCTGTTCTTCTCCCTTTTACAGCGGGGAAGGGGTCCGTTCGTTTCTCCCCAGGAAACCGAAGCGGTGCTCTGAGAGGTAACAAGAGAAGGAGGGGTTTCCCTCTCCCTCTGTCGCCGGAGACTTGTCGATGCCCAAGGTTTACCTCCTGAGGCCTCTTGGGAGATGGGAGACGGTCACCAGACGCAGGTCAAAGCCCTTCCCGGGGTTAATTTGCCGTCAGGAGTCCTGGGGGGACGAGGGAGGAAGGAAGGAAACAGAATCAAACACAGGGCGGGGGTGTGTATGTCTTTTTCCCTAAGATGAAACGTCGGCCCAGGAGTCGTCTGTCTCTGCTCTGGGCGGGGGGGGAGCCCTTTTCCCCTAAGACGAAACGTCGGGTCGGCCCAGGAGTCGTCTGTCTCTGCTCTCGCCTCCTGGAAGGCTGGGCCCATTACAGGGTGTATTGGCTTTCTGGGATGAAGGAAGGCTTGGATAACACTTTCCATCATCCCCAGACACTGCCCTTGTTAAGTGGGGTGCATGAGGTTTGTAGTACTATGGCACCAGCTTCACCCCCTAATGTAAGACCTAGCCTTGCAGATGCCCCTTTCGGATGACAGTGATAATGGGCACTATTTTATTTATTCATTTGTTTGTTCATTTCCTTTTATGTCCTCTTTTTCCTTCCCTTCTACTGTTGCAGGACTGCCTGGGAAGGGCCGGGAGGGTTGAGGCCTGGTCGCCCGTAAGGGAATCTGGGACTTCCAGGAGATCAAAGAGTAGAAGGCTGGGTCATGTCACTGAGAAGCGTGGGAATAGCGGTTCCTGAGATTCCTCGGAGGGAAGCTTAAAATGCCACGTGTCTCTCGGGCTGGGAAGCAGAAGCCGGTTAGGGGCCAGAATCACCCATCCCACCGGCCTCCCAAGGGCGCAGGATCTCAAGATGGTCAGCTGGCATTGGCAACCCCCCCACACACACACACACAGTCTCCTGGCCTAGCTGGGGATGGTGGGGATTGTAGTCCAGCTCCCTTGGAGGGGGGGGCAGGGTGAGAGACCAGCCTGGGCTGAACAGAGCGGGTGATCCTTCCTGCCCCACTGCCCCCCTGCCACTGGGTTTTTGAATGAAACCCACCCAGCCTTCAGGGGAAAACCGAGGCCAACCCTCCCACCTCAGCCTGTTCGGGACTCACCGGCGAAATTCAGACAAATGATGACGAGGATGACGGATCCCAGCACGATGGAGAGGATGCTCAGGAAGCGGGCCACGCGCCCGAGCCTCCGCGCCCCGTCCGCGTCGCCCTGCTGGTTGCTGTTCCTAGACTGGCAGGAAGGGAATCAAAAGGAGGGACTGCCTTAGCCCTGCGCTTGGGCATCCGTGTTTTAAACAGACAAACCAGCCTTCTTATTTTGGTTTTTCTTTAGAATACCTGTTCTTTCTCTCCGCCGCCTTCTAGAGGCTGTTGGACTACGACTCCCATCCTAGCAAGGATTGATGGGAGCTGTAGTCCAGCTCCACCCGGAGAGCTGGAGTTCCTCCATCCTTCTCATTAGCATCTCGCCAGACAAGAAAAAGTTCACGACTACAGTTAGGAAAAATTAGATCCACGCAGAATATACCAGACACCTAGCTAGGCAAGGTTTAACACAAAACAAGAACGGGGGGTGGAGGGGAGAGAACCCCCCACTACGTCCAGAAATGAGTAGAATATAAATCGTATCCTAATGGTTGCAAAAGCATTTCTTGCTGCGAGGAGTTAAGATGCTTCTACCATGGACAGCTCCCTCGATGAAGCCAGGCCTCTCTCTCTCTCTTCTTCTCCAGCCCACGAAGCCGCTTTCCCCACCTGGCCGGCCTCTGGATCTCTCTGACAAAAGCTCCTGCACCCCCTCCCCCACAAAATGGGTGCCCTTCCTCTCTGTCCTAGCTAAGGAGAAGCCCTCCGGCAGCCGGATCCTGCACCGCCCAGCGTCCCTGTCCTGTGTTTTCAACACTCGGCTCGGCAAGACCCGGTGAGCCTCCGGAAGGGAACCGTTCTTCAACCCGAGACCCGTCTTCAGAGATGTTATCGCAGCCGCGTGGCTGTGGTGGGAGGCACCGAGGATAACAAGGGGGGGTGAAGCCAAAATGCCCACTTTGTGTTGTACCGGAAGCCAAGCCACCGGAGAGAGAGAGAGAGAGAGAGAGAGGTGAAGCCAAAATGCCCACCTTGTTTTGTACCGGAAAGCAAGCCACCAGAGAGAGAGAGAGAGAGAGATCCCAGTGTTTTAAGATGAAGGGGTTGCAGCCAAACCAAAGGCTGGACTCCAATGGGAAGATCCAGGAAGGCCAGATTCAGAGTCAACGGCCTGAGTTGCTGACCAATGAGTTGCAGGAAACAATAGATTGTTTTCTGGAGTATTGAAGGCTAGCACATTTATTAAGGAATTGGTTTTTTTAGGGCTGAAAGGGGATTAAAAGCCACAAAAGCTTATTATAGGCTGTAAGAAATATACTAAGACTCCCAGAGGTCCCGATGAGCTCCCCCCCCCAACTTTGCTTTTTTCCTCTGACAGACTAAGCAAAGCTTTGTTCACTCTGGAGTCTTGTTTCACAACAGCCGTGTTTGAATAATGCTCCCTTTTATCTCTTGTCAGCCATGGAAGCTTGTCAGGAAGTCGGAGCTGACCCCGTGACCTTTTGCTCCCTGAGGCAGTGCAGCACCTGGCCCCCTCCCCTCACGAAGTCCAGGTGCAGGAGACCCCAGGCCAGGTAATTTATTTTGGGCCGAGGGGCAGGAAACCTATTGAGAACCCGTCTTCCCCAGGAAGAGAGGACAGCCAACGGTGAGATGGATAAACCATAAAGGAAGCCATGAGTTTACAAGAGAGCTGGAGCAGGGCTGTGGACGACCGGGTATTCTCGAGATTGCTTCTTCATCAGTTGGGAAAGGCTTGGTGACACGTAACTACCACCACCGCTTCTCCTCCCCTCTCTCGTTGCTTTGTGTGATCAAAGTGCTTCCAGCTTAGACCAGAGACCTCGTGAATCAGGGGATCTCCAGAATATCTGCTGGTTACCAGCCCTGCTCAGCTCTTCCGGACTTGGAGGGCCGTGGCTTCCTTTACCTAGTGAATTCCTCTCATGTTTTGGTCTCCCTCTTTTCCTCCTGCTTGTCTGGCCTCTGAATTTGTGCGAAATCATTGGAGGCTGGGAACCCCCCATCCCATTGAAAACCACTAGCCGTATTTCAAAGCCTGCGGTTTCCTCTTTTCCTCCTGCTTGTTTGGCCTCTGCATTTGTGCGAAATCATTGGAGGCTGGGAGCCCCCCCATCCCATTGAAAACCACTAGACGTATTTCAAAGCCTATGGTTCTGATCGGCAGAGAGACGATGGCCTCCGATGGCTGTTCCGCCTGCCACCATCCCAGGCTTCCCTATGAGCTCAGCGGGAAGCCTTCCAGGGACAGAGAGAGAAGGGGAATGGATTTTTCCCCAGCACAGACCCTCCTGCTATGAATTAGTTGAGGTAGCGGCGTCATGAATAGCTACTAAGAGCTGTTCATTTCACAAAAGACCAATTCCCTGTGCAAAAACAGGAGAGCGCTGGGATGGGTTTATTGATATGGGTCAAAAGCAGTAGCCCCCATTTTTGCGCTCTGCGCGTGGTGCGGTGCCGGGAATTGTCATGACGAGGGCTTGCGCTTCAAAACTGCCAGTAAATGCAGCTACAGCAGGGGCGTTAAAAGGGAGAGGGGAGTCACTCAGAGGAAGGCTGGGGGCTCCTGGTTTTTAAAATCAGAGTCATGCCCCATGTCCACGGAGAGCATTTCCGGTCAATCCGTGGTCAAAGAGAGGCACCAAGAGGCTTCAGCCAAAGCCCCAAATCACATCCTCTGCTCATTCTCCGTAACGTGCTCAGAGGTTCACTTTTTCGTCAGGATCTTACACCTCGACCTATTAAGTCTTGCCCTCCAGATTTCTCCCTTTCTCCTGGAGGTTTAAAATTGGGATAACACAAGCTGATAAGAGCGACTCTGAAAGGAAAGACGGAGGCCCAGGAGAGACCACGTCCCCTGCTTGCCTCAGGCTCCTTCCGTTTAGACCCTTTCTTTCGTTCAAAGTCAAGCAGGAACTCGGAGGAGAAAGAGAACTGGGGCTTCCTTTATGGACAACACGGGCTCGTCAGTTAGAGAGCGGCCAGGATGGAGGGAGAATCCACTCCCTGCTTGAAATAAGACCCAACCCTGCAGGGTAAACAGCTTTCTCTAACCACAAGAGAAACCAGTATTGGCATAGAGAGAAAAAAATGGATCTGTTTCTTGTTTTTACAAAGGAGGTTCTCTTGCTATGAAGTGAGGTTCTTAATGAATCTGGGCTCTGCCCCCAAACTCTTTCTATTTTCTTTCTTTCTTTTTGCCACACCTTCCCCTCCCAAAATGATAAGAATTCACCCCCAAGAAGGGTTTGAAATGAAGTGCCTCGAACCCACTGTTCTAGGGTCCCCTTAGGAAAGGTCCCTTCACCAGCAGCCCCACCACCAACACCACTACACGGGTTGGGGAAAGTGCCCCTCTCCTTGGGATGCGAAATGGTCCTCAAATAAGGGCATACCACCACTACACGGCTTGGGAAAAGTGCCCCTCTCCTTCAGATGTGAAATGGTCCTCAAATAAGGGCATTCTCTCTCTCTCTCTCTCTCTCCCATGGAGAGCTCCCTCTTTCTCTCTTTCCGCCCTTCTGCCCTTGAGATTCCTTCTCCCAATTTGGGAAGTTGCGTCTCCTTCCGGGGGTTCCCCAACCCCGCCTCTGCTCCCCCAAGTTGATCTCGCTCTTCCTTCCCAGCTGGGGAACCCTTTCTCGGGAAGGAAACGGGGTGCCCAGGGTGCACGAGAGAGAAAGACAGAGAGAGAGGCACAAGTGCGCCTTTGCGCATGGAGGAGAAAACCTTCCCGGGTGGAGGGGAAGTGGGGAGGGGGGGCCCGCACGCATGTCTTCTTACCATGATGGAGAAGACCAGGGCCAAGATGTTGACGGGCCAGATGGGGCAGAAGCAGGAGAAGATGGCCAGGAGCAGGTAGTCTCGGGGCCGGCCGGCCTCCTGGAGGTTGGAGTTGGTGGCGGTGGAGGAGGCGCGCCCCAGGCTGAGCTTGGAGGGCGAGAGGGGCTTCCCTCCCAGCTGCCCCTCCGAGCCGGCTTTGTAGGGCAGGCTGGGGGAGTGGGGGTGGCCGTTCCTCTCGGCCTCACTGTCCGCCCCAGCCCCTGCCAGCCCTCGGTCCCCAGCTGAGAAGGATTGGGGCCCCTGCCCCCCGCCGTTGCTGCCGCCGGTCAGCAGCTTCTCTGTCTCCGTGGGTGGAAGGGAGCCTTGGTCCACCCCCTTGGCCAGGGAAGGGGCCTCGTCCTCCTGGAGGGCCATGGCTGCCCTGCGGTCCGGAGAAAAGGGAGCGGGCGGGCGGGGGCCCGGGGCTCGTCCGGTGCAGCGAGAGGGACGGCCGGCTGCCTGGCTCCCTCGGTCGCCTTTCGCGCCCTTCCCTGCCTCTCCTGCTCCTCCACGCCCGCCTGCTTCTCTCCAGGCTTTCTTTGGCAACTTTGCCCGCCAGCTCCCCGCCTGCCCGCCCCGTGCGAGCCAGCGAGCGATTGAGCGGCCGCCCAGCCTGCTTGCGAGCGCTTGGAGGAGGAGGAGCGGGAGGAGGAGGAGGAGTCCCCGTGACATCCTTTTCCTGCCCCAGGCTCCCTCCCGGAGCCACTGGGTTTGATCCCCCCTCCCCCGGCAGGCCCATACCTTTCAAGGAAACCATTAAAGATTCCGCACAAAAGCCAAGGGTTTCCCCCTCCACCATCCTCGCCTGACCAAGAATCCCGGACAGCCTGGAATCTAGCGTCCTCCGGGCAGGTGTCCTTGGGGCTTGTAAACCCGTGAGCAGCTGTGGATGAATGGATGGAGGCCGAGACCCCTGAAATACACACAGCGTGAAGACACGCAGGGAGGCCAGGGGAAGGAAAAAGAGAAAGCCAGCTTGGAAACCTTTCTGCTCTCTTGGAGCATCCTAGAAAAAGTTGGCCAGTTCCCCATCAAACAGACTGAAGGGGGCTCCAAAAACACAGCATGAAAAACTAATAAAGCAAGCTTGTTTTGGCCGAAACAGAGGAGGAACGCCTGTTTATGGGTTCTGGATCTTAGCAGCTGAACACAGCTCTCCCTTTGGGAAGGTCTGCTTCTTCTGCACCAAGAGCCATCTTCAAATGCTCAAGAGCCTCTGTAAACTCTTTGCAAAAAATTAAACACTTTTCAAATTCGGCTCCACATCCCTCTGCCTTGATCCTCACCGATGCTGAGTAGCGGTTGCCACCTTTTTCTTTCGGCGAGGCTCCGCATCTCTTAATGCCGGTGCCACTTGGCAGTGTGGGCCGAAGCAGGGAGGGATTCCTATCAGGACATCTTGGGAGGGTTCCCCCCAGTTTGGAACCCCCCCCCATTCTGCTTGAGGTCGGAAGACCGTGTGTAACTTAACACAAAACTGATGCACCGAAAGCAGAAGAAAGGAAAAACCCGTACGTTGTGCAACTCTTAAGTAACATATAGGCATCGTTTTAATAGTCTCTGACCCTATCCTTCAACTTCTATCCCTGGGCTTTGGTTAATCCCCTTTCAAATCCATCTGAGCTGGTCTCCTTCTGCAAGCTGATAGTTCTCACTGCTGAACACGGAGGAGTCTTCTTTTAACCCTCTGGTTGTGTTTATTTCCAGGAAACGGCGGTTCCTGCTCAGCCCAGAGCAGAGTTTATAACGGTCTGGAGTGCCATCTGGTGGGGCCCCAAAGAACATTTTATTACGGCTCCCTTCCTGCGCGTCTTACATTGGCACAAGGCTCAGAGAGGAGCGAACGCCTTCTTTGGATCACCAAAAACGAACAAACAAGGTGAGCCTTTGTGTACTCCCACGGCAGCCTCGTTCAGGTTTAGGTGGTATAAAATGTGGGGAGATAAGAATAGAAGCCCCCCCCAAAGGGCAACAACGTCTGTGCAGATGTGGTGCCCATTGTGGCTGAAGGACCACCACTGGCAAGGCAGAGACGGTGGATTGTGTAGAAAACGAAAGCAACCACCGGCCACTTTATAGTCGCTCCCTCTTGTTTTCCTCTGCCCTCCTCATGCTTTTTTCCTTTCGTGACGTGTCTATTGCCTTATGAGCGGCTTGACAGGCCTCTTGTTTTGGCTGAGAGCCGGAAAAGTTGATTTTCACAGGGCTTGAAAAAGTTGCTTTTGAAAGGGACCCTGACTCCCAAGGTTGTGTTTCAAGACACATAGAGGTCACCAGGTTGGAGGAGACCCTTCTTGGGTGGTTGTTCAGGATTACGTTTTGTTTTGTTTTTTCAAATTCGTCCTGAATTAGGAGAAGATCAGAGCCAGCATAGGTGACGTGTCCGGGTGGGTGGGGGGCAGCTGCTGCCTTTCTCTGGAGGCAGCCTGCGTCCTACGCCCTCTTCGAGCAGTGAGGGAGCAGTGGCTCCCATCGCTCTTCCCTCCCCCCAGAATGCCACTTGTAGGGCTGGCCCCACTGCAGGCTTGAAAGACGAAAACCCAGAGCAAGGGGCTGGGCCGAGATGCGGTCCGGGAAGCTCTTCCAGGGAGGGAAAGCTTCCAGCTGCCTCCAAAGCCTTTGATGAGCTAATCCCTTTATTTCTCAAACATGCCGTCCCTGTACTGTGCAGAGATATCAGGGCAAGGGTTTTTCAGCAACGTGATTATCACAGTTCTTGCCGTTTGATCTTTCAACCTTCCTGCTCTGCCTTCCAGCAAGCCTGGTGTTTTCTGCCCCCCCCCCATCTCCAGCTTGGCCCAGG